GCAGAGTAGCAACGGGCATTTAAATAAACTCCGGCCAGCTCAAGCTTACCACCATTTCAGAAGTCCGGCCTTTAAAGGAATGTTATATATATATATATATATATATATATATTCACCAAGCAGCACCCGTTGTTGGCCGAATGTTGTACACGTGGTCATCGATTTACGAGCGGTTTCCGTTCTGACAGGTGTAAGTCGATCTGGTCATAAGTCGGCCATATATTTATTAACAATATTTTTTAACATTTCTAATCTTTGTATCAGCTTTATAATTTATTTTTAAAAACTTTTACATTTTAATCGTTTTTATTTTTCATTTTTTGTGGTCGTAAATGCGGCCGGTCCTAAGTCGACGACCAAGTTGGTGTGTGTGTGTGCGCGCGCGCGCGCGAGTGTATATATATATATATATATATGCGGCAGGACACGTGCTCTCTTTGGGAGTGACAGTTTGATCTTGGGTTTGAAACCAAAACACACACACACAAGGTCACGTGAGACGTTCATTTATTAGCTCTGAACAATGAAATCGTTCATCAGTTTTTGAGGTCGCTGCCCATCGCCCTGAAGGGGCTTTCCATGAGGTTTTAGTCTCGAGTGTTCAGGTTTACTATAGCTGCGTGATGTTAAGGGTTGCATGGGAGGGTTCCAACGCTTCCATAATCTCATCCCCAATACCTCCTGCCCTAACCTATAAAATGAATTCAGAGGAGCGGTTTGGACAACCCAATAAGGGGATAATAAGAAACTAAAATGCTATATTTTTTACTACACTACTACGCTTTCCATCAGGTTTCAGTCTTGAGTGTTCAGGTTTTATTCTACAGGTGGCGCTACAGTTTTTATTTCATATTTTCTTCTTAACTCACACTCGATCAGCTTGGTCCCAAGTTATTAAAATTTTGTTCCCATCTGTCCAAAGTATTATAAATTTCTTTATGCGTGACCTACACGTCACATTCCTAGTCTCGTGAATGAAAATTTTCTACCATAAAATGTAACTCCACTGCAACCATTCAATAATCCTTTCATAAACTGAACTCTTGCTTCACATTGCATTATCTCATTACAATAGCCTTCAGTGTCCCCATTTTCTAGTACTCTCACACAGATATTTCAACTTCTTCCTCGACAGGATTACTTCATTCACCTGTCCCTTCTTACTTGCTAATATCAAATTAATATACTCATACTTGTACTTACCTTTCTTGACACTTTCACCACCCATATTTCTGATCATGTCCGTTTGTATCTCACACTTGCCATACCACTAACATATTTCCACAACACTTCACACTCCAAAATTTCGCTGTAATTTGACCAAGCTTCAACACTTCACATAATTTCCGACTGCAGTGCCCGCTTTGCATTCCGGTGGAATCCTGTATGCCCTTACTGCGATGAAAAACATTTCCTACAAAAATTGCAGTTCATGCAGCCACTTTTCTACCATTTGTGACACACCATCCAAACCTACATGTGACAACACAAAACCCTCCAGGATTGCCAGGCTATGGATGTATCCTAAGCATCTGCACCAAGTACATAATATCCAGGTACTGCGCAACTTTGTACATCAAGTGCTCAGCCTTCACAATATTTATACACTACAAACAGATCATATGAACTGCAAAACTAGCTATACTCTATGCATTAAATTATAATAAATGTGATACATCACTGACCTCTATTTTCATTCAAATCACCTTCACCATTCTTCCATGATATATATATGCAGTGTCTGTCTTGCAGTGCATCCACTTTTACCTGTCACTTCACAACATGTTTCGGCAACATAGTGCCATCATCAGGTGCTCCATTTACACTAATCTATTGCATTGCATGCCATTATGTCAATGTAAAATTATTTAAAAAGTATTTTAAAATACTCATCAGTTATAATTTTTTTTTTTTTATTACAACACCTGCAGCCAAAAAGGGAACACGCATCACGAGACACGATACACATGGCATATAAGATGAACGACTCCCATAGTGGAGGAACCATGCGCGGGTTTTGAATTGGGACAGATAAGATGAATATCTTAACAAGATTTTAGTATACAAAAAAAAAATTATTATAATTGATGAATATTTTAAAATACTTTTTAAATAATTTTACATTGACATAATGGCATGCAATGCAATAGATTAGTGTAAATGGAGCACCTGATGATGGCACTATGGTGCCGAAACACGTTGTGAAGTGACAGGTAAAAGTGGATGCACTGCAAGATGGACACTGTGTATATATCATGGATGAAAATCAGTGCAACAGGACGCTAAAATACAACATTATTCACCATTCTGACTGTCATTTCAAAGTTCAGTATCTACCTTACAACCACTTGTGCAACAAGACTCACACCATGATTCACTTCCCCTCACCATTTGCTGATTACTACCAGCAATATTCATTTCAGTATTCCATATTAACGACTTGCAACCATGAATCACTAATTCTGTCTACACATTCATATTATGTCTCTTAACTTTAGCTAAGAAACTTGTATGATACTGGAGGATAAATATAGAAGGATAACGTATTGGCCATTGCTAAGAATAGGCATCCACAAACAAAAAATCACACTCAAAGAGAAGACTCGTGTATTGCTTACAAACACTGCACAAACAAATTAATCCAGCACTTTATACATGTCACAATTCAATACAATACATTATTGCCATCAAACATTCAGACAGAATGCTGCTACACAAGCCTTCCAGACCTCAGCTCAAGATCCACACAGATCAAGAACCTCACACACAACATGGCAACATTCCTGAAAACTAACCAGCCCTTCAACAGGATGGCACGCTGAAAAGTAACACATCTTTTCTTGCACCAAACCCAACCACAGGGCAGTGTAATCTCTGCTGTATTAATTCAATTACATTTTCCTCAACTTATGTTCATCTTCATATACATCCTCTACACATCCCTCAATTACAGCTGTAAAAATGTTGCAGTATACAGAGATGCGAGTGGAATGTAGTCTGTCCAGTGATCTAGATCCTCACTCTGCAAATCTTTCCACTCATCGACATTCACTGGCGATCATCACCACCACCATCTTCGCCATCATCCCCTCCACCATGACTTCCACCACCTCCATCACCACACCCACCACTATCACCACCACACATCACATGATGAAGTCAAGAGGGTGGTAGAGATGTCCTTCCATCCACAATATGCAGACATCTGATTTAATGCACATTTCCAAATACCCCAGCACTCACAAAACTCTGTTGACTGCTGGCGATCATGTTCACAATTGTGTACAGTCGCACCAAACATTAAAATTTATCCATTTTGTCTCAATAAAATACTTTTTTTTTTTTCCTTTTCAGCTTGCCCTCTTACATAAAATTTATGCAACTTGCCACTCTTCAAATAAATTGAGATCGACAGACATAAATACTTACACACTACTGCACTCAGAAGAGTATTACAAACTGTGAAACAAATATGAACTATATGTATTCAAAAAAAAAACAAAAAACAAAACAAAAACAAATTCAACAGATCGTAACACATACAGTATTGTGTCACCCACCTACAGCATTAGCACATATTTATGCAACACAGTGAACACGACTTCCTATCTTATTATAGGACTGAAATCCATCACATTTTTCTGAACTGAAATACCACCAATATTAAGAATCCTTGCTCTGTATATACAAAATTCATACACTCAGCATACTGACACAATTCGTCCAATCATCTCCCGATGAATGACACGTTTTCAAGTACAATAAAGACGTAACAATACACCATCATAAATAAATATAAATATCATGATGGAAAATACTGATAGCTCTTGTCCTCAGAAACTGCATTCACACCATTACAATAAATATTACATGATAATATCAACATTAACAGAAACTGGTAACACACACAATCCATATGCTCTGCAACTGAGGCAGCAAGTAGAACAGAAATTCATGCAATTATAACAGTAGTTGATTCTATACGTAAATATGCGGGACATTCTTTTCATAACTTCATAACTGACAAATTGACAATGATTATGAGAATGTCTCATTTGGTAACGAACATATTTCTGTCTACAGGTATGTTGAAATATTTTTCCAAACAGCAATAACAAAATTAGAATCCACATAAAAGTACATAGCACTTTCAAGAACTCTATCAATCAATGATAGCCAGCCATACACGATAAAGTTCTTATATATCCATTAACTTCTGGTTATCAAAATAAGCAATACAATCTCAGGTACAAGTTTTGGCATTACACTTATTACAATATCAAAACAGACAACCATAAAAGTAAGTAAAAAAGTAAAGCTATCCCTGTAACAGGCCGTGAAGGCCCATGGGGTTGTGAGATGTTGAGAGTCCCACATTATCTAGACAATCGGCTCAAAGATGGCAGTAAGGTTGCCAGCCTTACGTGCCAGCCATGCTTACCTCCCCAGGAAAATTATTTATTTAATTCGTGGTACTCATTTCTGTCAGAGGCTGAGTGAACCCCAGGGCCATAGTGCGGCCGGAAGGAATACGTCAACTGAAAAAAATCCAGTGACCTCATCGGTATTTGAACCCATGACCTTCTGACTTGTAGCATAATGCCTTAATCACTACCCTACAGCGTACTCATGTGTATGGTGAGGTATAGTGCAAAGTGAACCTCATACAAACCAATAGGCTAAATTCATAAAGCTCATGGCAGTAAGTATACCCACCTTGACCCTTTCTGTTCTACGGATGTATATGTACTTTCCTCGACATGTTAGCTCAGGTTAGTTTTGTTAGCTTTGATTATGTTAGATTAGGGCAGGTTACATTAAGTTAGACTACATTCTGTTATAATTTGTATTTTGTCTCAAACTGTCCGAAGACTTGGTCCACATATGGTTAATGGCATATACTTCTACCATGAATATTGATATACTGTACTAGGCTGAAATCATTTTCTTCCTTTGCCATCTAAATGAATACCCCCCCCCCCCTCCAGTACCCATTTTTCTTTTGGACAAAATAAATCTAAATTTCTTACATATAATTCAAACACAGGTCATTCATTTAGACCAACTCACACTTCAAGCATCATAATGATGATATCTGAAGAGATATTGATCTATATTTATGAGACATACATTTCTAAGGCCAGTTGCAAGACCGGTATCTTGTGGCGGAGAGATGCGGTAGTTTACCCATTGCATCTGTAGCACTGGCAGATGAACCTCTTACACAACTGCTGCACTTCTTCCAGTGCTGGAAATCCTCATCCAGGCTTCCCGTGACATATGACTGTCAACAGGGAGGCATGTTTCTGTGATTGGTGATGGTTACAATGACATACAGATGCAGGTCTGCATACACTGAATCTCCTATTTAAGGTCTCTTTGCCAAGAAGTGGATTCTTGCGTGCATGTAATTTAACAATGAGGTTACTGACACATCACCAAAACCAAATGTTACCTGAGGTTAATCTCGCATCAAAGAGCACTGATGAGGGTTTCACTGTATTTCAGTTCCCTGCACATTGTTCCCTCTCAGGTCTTGGATCATCTCTTTATAAGCCTTCTGAAAAACAGTCATCTTCCCCCTATTAACTCTGCAAGATCTTGCTGTGCATATGTCCAATGGACATGGAAGACCGCCAGTCACTTCAGCCCCTCATGGATGTGGAGAGACAGCTCATTTTCAAACAAGACGCTGCTGCACCATCATCTCGCCAGTCTACAACAAACAGTAAAATTACTTGGTAAAAGCTAATATATGTTAATATTATATAGTGTCACTATTATATTTAACCTTTAAGTGCTGAAGTGCCCCGTTTGTGCCAGTCATGAGTAAGGTCGTCGTGGCCAAAGTACCCCGTTTTGGCCAGTCAGACAGTTAAACTCCGCTAGTGGAAGCGTGCGCACACGCCGCTAGTAGAAGCGCATGCACAGTCCTAAATATTTATTTTTAAATGTAGTAATTACCAGACCGACTTGAGTAAAACCCTAATAGAGGAATTAAAATAATACCTAACTGAACAACAGCAAATAAAAATATACATATGAGTTATGCCAAAACTTATCCATAATCCAGTAATTTTATTGCAGATTCTGCAGATAGGTATGTTAAAAATATATTGTAAAATTCGATGTACATACCTTTTTTGTTGTTACCTTCTTGATGTATATATAGGTTCAAATGAAACTACAGTATTCGATTTCACTACGAATGCACACAAAAGAGATCGCGCTCTGTATCTCAGCCACGATGCAGCTATCTGTTCATTCAAATAGAAGGGGCAATAAGCTTTTGCAGCCCTAACGGAAGGTCTTAGCACTGAAGAAGGGACCCCTATAGCTTTCTCTTGAATAGCCATTCTTTCATTCTCCTGACCTTCAGTCAAAGATTCGAAAATCCGAAGGGTGTAAGCAGCGTTAGTAGAAGACCACATGATTTTATTGCTTCCATCTGTTTTATGACACCAGAGACTGCTAAAATTTGTCAAGTGTTACAAACAGAAATGAATTTATAATGCAGAACAACTCTGTGAAGAACTGGGAATCCATTTTTGCAGTACGCATCAAAATTAAAACACAAAAAATTGAAAATAGAGTATAACACTTTGTATTAAAAATTTCAAATCTTTCGTTACAATATGCGACACTATGTTCTTTTCTGATATAAACAAAGTCAATTCCATCCATTTATCATAGAAATTGAGCTAGATAGAGCATTTTTAAACACAACGCTTAAAACTGATTAAGCGCCTAACAGGAAAGGACATTTAAACGCAGAGTAGCAACGGGTATTTAAACGAGCACCAGCAGAGGGCATT